ATAATCAGAGAAAGCACTTTATCATTGTTCTTGATTCTATCTCTTACATGTGCACATGTATGTCGAACATATCTCATGGTATATTATGTAGGCATTACTTTCAGGTAATGCTAGTGTCACAAATTTCCAGATTTCATATTGGTATGGTGGCATTACGCTGGTATTATGATCATAAAAAAAAGGCAATTGATCAGGCGAATGTGATTTTTGCTAATTCGGATGCTAGTAAAGCTCAACAAAATCAAACAACGTCCTTAATTCCTCAATATTTCACAATTCTCTGTTCAGTAACAACAAACAACCTACGTGCAGCAGCACAGCGTTCTAAATTTGGTGAAATTTGGGGTCTTGTATGGCAAGCTATACAACTCGCTGTTGAATATGAAGATAATGAGATAGAACAATGGTTAAAATCTTTTATTAATCAAAAAAACCGTTTTTTAGCACAAAATAAAAAGCCTGAAGACAGTGAAAAAGAGAATAATTCTACAATTGTAAATCCTCTAATTACCAGGTGCAAGGGCAGACCCAAGACTAAGTGATACAAGACTGCTACAAAAAAAGGACATCGTTAGCCATATACTTGTTATAGCTGTGGCAAAACTGGGTACAATAGTACAAGATGTCAAGAGAAAGGTAGCTAGCTTGATGTTGGTTTATGTTTTTGTAGAGTTATTGAAAGGTTTAATATATTTGTTATTTGATGTATGATTGTTATGCTATGTTATTCAGAATTGATTAACTTATATGATTGCAACTTGAATGATTCTGGGTTATAGTTTATTAGAATAGATGTGTGAGATCGATAGTACGTATAGTTAACCTGATTGCACTAACTTTTTTTTTTATTTGGGATGAATTAGCTAGTTTCGTTGTGTCGGGTATATACTATAAGAAAATTGGTTATTGTATGTACTATCGTAGCTTCATGTATCTGTTCTAATTTACGATACTATATATTACGAACTTCAAAATTCCGGGTTAACAACTGTTCAAATATTTAGTGATACAAAGTATGAGATTTTACTGAATCGCTTTTAGATCTAACAAGCTTTCACAATACTAATATATTGCCTAAAGCAATAGACACGACCAGGGCGGCCATCGATTTTACAGGTCATGTGTGTAGCGCCACCTGCAACAATTGTTGCAAACGAATCAGTATTAGATTTATAGTGCTATTGCTAGAAAATTTTGACCCTGCATTGCGTATTGTGCATATTGAATATTGGTGGTGCTACCACATGACCTGTAAAATCGATGGCCGCCTTGGTTGTGTCCAAAGCAATATGTATTTAAAATTATCGGTTCATTGTAATACGAACGTAGTATAGTATATCTTATGATACATATTTAACCAAGAATTTTGGATTCTTATTTTTTGTTTAAAATTTTTTTATATTAAAATTTAAAATAAAGGTCACGTGATTCTGAATATATTGTATATATAGTGACAAATTGCAAATATCACATGTTGTAATAAATAAATTTTTCCTTAAGATTATATAAAAAATAATCTATATATACTTTATTTTTAAGAGTAATTGCTAATAAAATAAATTTTGCTATTTTTGATTTTGAGATAATAAACCTAGTTATTATTTCTTTTATATTTTACAATATAGATAGATTGTTGATTTTAGTAAATAGGATGAGTTGTTATTGATCATAAAGAGTATTTTTTAAAATATTGTAAGTAGGTATAGATATGTGTCTAAATTATTTTTGGCTTGCTATAAATAAAAATTGCTAAAAATATTTTAGATATCTAAATCATAAATAATTTTGGCTGTCTAAAATATTTTTGGTTGCCTAAAATATTTTCAGTTGTCTAAAATATTTTTGGTTGTCTAAAATATTTTTAGTTATCTAAAATATTTTCGGTTACCAAAAATAATCTAATTGCCAAAAATAATTTTGGTTGTCTAAATAATTTCAGCTGCCAAAAATATTTTTTAATACAAAAATATTTTTTGATATCATTATTATATACATGTGTCTAAAATATTTAGAGTATATCGAAATAAAAATTGCTACCAAATTTCAAATATGAAATATTTATAATTATAAAATATTTTAAAATGATAAACTGTTTTAGAATAGTCAACTAGTAATAAACAATATGTAGTAATATATCAAGAGCTTATCATAAAATTAACAAATAATATACATGTGCAAACAAATAAAAATTTTCTAAATTGCTGTTTTGATACAATTTTTTAAGATTTATATACAAATGTATTTAAAAATCACTTTATATAAAAATTGAAGCTCTAGATATTTATATGATTTATAATAATAAATATAACAATCTATAAAGGATTTTAGATAGCAAACCTACAAAAAATATTCGTTTTTGTAATTTTTGACTAATCAAAATTCAAGATCAATTGTAATATAGTAGTTAAATATACATATTCAGTTTTTTAAAATAAAAAGTTGTATATAAAATTAATTGGTGATTTGCCACTTAACCAGAGAGAGCTTATAGTATAACGTGATGCAGTTTATATATAGAAATTAGGGTTTTTGAAATATAAGCTGCTTCTATCTAAAACTTTTTTTCATACTAAGTTAATCACCTTTGGACCTCTAATTGAAGTTGTAGAGCTCATCAAAACAAATCTAATGGTAATTGAATCATCAAAATCGGCTTGGTGGATCATGAGATATCTTCGAAAACATTTTGTCGACTATGTAAAATTCTCTTGGCGATACTATTGTCAAAAAAGAGAAATTTATATAGTTAGCAAAACATTTTCAAAGATATCTTGTGATCTACCAAGCCGCTTTTAACAATTCAACTACTATTAGATTCATCTCGATGAGCTCTACAACTTCAATTAGAGGTCCAAAGGTGATTAACTTAGTACAAAAAAA